GGTGGCTCTCTTGCGTCCTTGACAGTATCTTTTGGCGATGAAGTAGTCGTGGTGGCTGTTTGCTTTTGTTTCTTGGCGGTAGGTGGTCGTTTGTGCCACCGAGGGTCCGACAAACTCTCCTCTCTGTCAGAAGTCCCCTGCCAGCTTGACGATTTTTCCTCCTTTCTTCCACGCTGTGTAAATGTTTTGACTGTAAATGTGTAAATATTTTGTAAATGTTTGAATAAATCCGTCTTTAAAATGGTTTACGCCCTATCTCGGACTCATTTTCTGTGTTGCGTTTATGTGATTGAAAAAGTAGGTTAACTTTTCCGACGTTAAAACTTTTTTCTGAAAGTGTGTTTTTAATGCAGATTGATTTGAGCAGAACTGATTTTGTTTCAGTGTTTGCGATTGACCGCTTCCCGAATTTTTGAAATGTTGTTCTCTCAATTGAGGGTTTGAAGTACTAATTTCTATTCTTTTATTTTCCGCCTGCTTTTTGATCAGCTGACACGGTGCCATTTTCCCATTGGCTGAACTATTGAAGCTGACGTTGTCGATCATTTCTAGATTGTTTATAAATGCATTAATTGATGCTACAGCAAATTTCTCATGGTACCCGCTTGTGAGTATTGCCAATATTGTATTAGATTGTATTAGACCCATTTTGTTACCCGTCAAATGTTTGATATCAAAATGGATTGGGATTAATCGGTCAATCCACCGAGTTAGTCTGCTTTGGCTGGTTTTTGATCTTTCACTTGCGTTTAAAGCGTTGATCAAAGCTTGATGATCTGTGATGACGATGAATTGTTTCCATAAAGATAAAATTTGAAATTTAATGGCCCAAACTACCCCGAGTAATTCTAACTCATTAACTGAATGTTTTTCCTCAAGGGAATTTAGAAACCTTGATGCATAAGCTATCGCCACCCAGCCTTCTTGTGAATGTTGTTCGAGTGACGCCCCTAAATCTGAAGTGGAAGAAGCATCACATACTATACGTGTTTCTAGGCTTTGGTCAAAATTTTTGCTGTGTTATTTCAGAGACGAACTTTACGATGTTTTTAAATGTTGTATTGTGTTCTGGTTTCCCATTAATTGGTTATTTTTTTCTGTATTTTTTTAAAAGTGGACGTAATGCTGCTGCTATTTGCTAAATTCGGAGTGTACCTGGTGAGCTGGTGTATGGAGCCCATAAAGCTTTTAAATTGTTTAAAAGTTTTTGGTGGTGATAGTTTTCAATCGCACCTATTTTTCTTATTGATGTTTTAGTGCCGTCGCTGTTTGTGGTGTACCCCAACCACTCAACTTGTCTACACGCAAACCTACATTTGTCCAGTGATATGGCAAGGTTTTCTGCATCTAGTTTTCCCAGAATTGTTTGAAGTTTTTGTTTGTGTATATCGATTGATCCTTTCATTACGATCAGTATGTCATCTAAGTATGCAGAGGTGTTTGAGCAATTGGTAAAGGTTAGATCGATAGTTTTTGAAGTTCAGTAGGCCTTAAAATTCTGTTGGAAATTGGTAAGTCCCGGTGGCATTGCCACCAATTAAACTGAAATTACATTGTTCTCGTTGACTTGTCCAACGAGATTTGTGAATATGCGTATCGCAGATCTAGTGTTGAGAATAGGTTCTACTGTTTGTTGTTCGATTTCAACACTTAAGTTTTGTGTCTAACAGCAAATCAATATTGGCCATTTGATATTTTTTTTTGTGAAAAAATTTGTTTATCATTTTCTGTCTAATGCCAATTTGACCGTCTGTCCTTTTTTTTACGGTAATCACGATTGGACTGATAAATTGTCGATCCGAGCATTTGTCCGATTTTATTATGTGTTTTTGGTCGATGAGTTTGTTGAGTTCCTTCTCAACCCGTTCTTGTAGATGAACCGTGACACTGCGTCCTTTCTGCTGAATCGGGTTAATGTCTTTGCTAAATTGCGTCCGCATCACATGGTTTTTTGACTTTCCAATACGAACGAACAACTGTGAAAAGTTGTCTTTAACCCATTGTTTGATTTTAGGGTTTGATTCTTGTTCACTTATATTCAGCACATCCCCTCGTTTTCGTTTTTCTTGGACTAATTTTGTTCCAATCTGTGGTTAAATTATTCCTGCCTATGATGCTTGCTTTTTGGTCATCATCAATGATGAACGGGGCGGCTTGTATTTTCCAGCCTCCTGATTCGGTTGTTAGAATTAATCTTCCTTTGGGAATTATTGTTTCGCCGTTGTAACATGCCAAGTTCCGAGCAGTGTCTCCCGATGGGATTTATTTAAATAATGTTGACTTGTCCTTTTCCTGTAGTCGCCGAGCTGTTTTTTCGTTTAGGAACGACATTGGGCTCCCGAAGTCGGCGGTTGCGAATAGTTCTTCTGTTTTCATCCTTCGCTTAATTATGTTTCCATTCAGATAATCTTCTGAAAAACTTGCCGTGTTTTTGATCTCGAACGCTTCGAAATTGCCATCACCGAGAATTTATCGATTTGGTATTCGCCCCAACCAGCTTTGGATGTACATTCGGCGAATGCTACTGGATCGTTATCCTTTTCTTGACTCTCAGTCTCAATTACCAGTTCCTCTTCATTGTGGTACCCCATATAGTTGACAGTTTCCTGAACGGCACACTTTGGCAAAATAACCCCGCTTGACGCATTTTGAAAGAATTTTATCCTTAGCGGGACACGATTGTAAGTGGTTCTGTCCAAATTGATTACAACATTTGTAACAGTGTTGGGGTATGTACTTTTCTTTTGCTGTTGTCCTCTTTTATATTGTTGTCCTGGAGGTTATAGACGACCGCGAATTTCGCCGCGAACTCTCTGAGATGTCTGATTATTCGCATAATTACTGTCCACGTGTGTTAATATAGTGTACTGGTTCTTGTTATGTTGTTTTTTGGTTTTCGAAAGGATTTATGTTCATTGTGCCTCTATGCTCGATGCCTTTTTCCCGGTGTTTTGCGTATTCAATTGCATCTTATGGGCTTCGCGTTTGTGCGAATAATGCCTCGGCAATTTTCTCGTTCTGCAAATGTGCGGGTAACATGTCTGTCACCCACTCGTTATCTTGGTCTCCACAATCGGCTTTTGAAGCCAATTCAACTAGATCCGCGTGGAATTGTTCCAGACTTTCCGGTCTCTTTTGTTGGACTTGTCGTTGCCCCTCGGCTCCCAGACAAAGGAAAATCTAGCTCCGTACTTTTGCATCTGCCTCATCCCACCAAAAAGAATTGCATAAGACTCCTTTTTCTCTGGCTTTTACCACGTGGTTTTCCCATTTTCCCAAGCGACTCTTTTTTCTTGGTTTCTAACGTCCCAGTTTTTCTTTTGGGCTTCGGTTTTTCCAGTTATCTCGATTTCATAGATAGGTTCTGTGGGCTTGACTTACGGTGGTTTGTTTCTTAGTAGATTTCTTACTTCAATCCTGTCCTTCGCAAATACTGCCATTTCGAATATTGCTGATCATTTCGACCACTCCAGTGGTGGTTCGGCTGAGGCTTTCTCCCAAATTCGGCTGATATTGCGCGGGTTTTTTGAAAATCCTGCTGACTGCGCCATGTCATTCTTCTAGGTATGGAAGTGAGTATATCAAATCCGAATGGATTGGTAAACGTAATCTTTGATGCGAGCTCGATAAAACAATTGTTTATACGAAACATAAATTAGTGTCTTAGCTATTGCTCATTTTCCCACTTCGGCATACAGCCGTACAAGGTCAACTGACCAACCAATATATAATTACGTTAACCAAACAAATTTCCATCAGTGATGCTGAGTTTATATATATCCGTACCGGATGACCCTTCATAATCAACCTTGTAAAACCACTCGTTAGACCAAAAAACTGACCTTTGTGAGGTGTCGGGGGGGGGGGGGGGGGGGGGTTGATAAGAAGAGCCAAAACTGAACTTCAGAAATATAAGTCGGCAAAAAACGAGCACAAAAACATTCGTGTGGCATGTTCGCAGCGGAGCAAGCGGTCACGAATCGCCAATGCCGCGTTTGAAATTAGCGTACTGTCTTGCTAATTGTTCTGAGTCTGCTAAAAGATTGGCATGCTAGAAAACCGGTCTGCTAAAATTCCGGTTCCTTGTCTAGGTTAGACCCATCTCATTGCATTGTCATTCACCTTGTAAACAAATTTGTTCGCCATTCTTTACTTCGTAACATCATGCGTTTAGCTACAGGAACACGTAAAGCAACTAAGAAAGTAGGATTTTTGAAATGTGGGCGGGAGGGGTTTAGAAAAGAGCCAAATTTGCAGCTATGTGAGGGGAAGGGCAAGAGTCTAACCCCGCAATAAGTGTTGCTTTTGACGCCCATTTTTCTAGTAACTGTGTTTGTTAACTCTACTTGGAATTGGAAAAACTAATGTTCCTAGTCGGAGAGTGTAAAATAGCACGTGGTTGTGATTTTTCCACTCTCACTGTTGAAGACTTGGAAGTCACCTGACTAAGCTGAAGTCATCTGCAGAAGTGATCAACAGTCAAACTAAACAGTTGTGTATCGGACAGTTACAGTCAAGCTTGTTCAAATTCAGAGAATAGTTTTGTCAATTTCTCATTTTATTCTAATTACATCAGACTGGCTATAGCATCCAGTTACTCGCTACTCCTTATAATTTTGCCGGTACCTTGCTATTTATAATTGGGTATTGGCAGAGTTTTGAGACCGGGCTTCACTCATCTGTAATTTGGAGGTTTGGGTTTGGCGGGCAGTTTTTGTGAGGAAGTGGTTGAGATAAAAGGGGAGCAAGATAGCGCACGCTGCTTCGGGTGCGGCAGTGGGGGGCGTGAGGCGATGTGAGAAATGCAGTCTATACAAACTAGCCTGGCCCAAACTGCAGCTGTGCGTTCGCCAAGCGCTGGAACAGCAGCTCGCCCATCGTTCTCACCACCCTGTCGTAAGTCAACGCTCTCGCCAACATCCTTAGCAGCCATCCTCTTTCGCACTCATATCGAACGTGTTTTTGAAAAGTATCATCAGTTTATTTTGTGTTTGTATTAGATGGCGGCGGCGGCTGTTGCTGTACACCCGGAGGGAAGTATTGTCTCCAGTAGATCTGCATCTGGCACCGTCACTGGTTCGGTGGCTGTGTCCGGTGGGGGTTCTGCTGGGCCCTCTCTGGCGTCCTCTGCAGCGAACATTGACATTCTGGTGGCTAATGCAGACAGTGTGGAGATGGAGGAGCCGAGCAAACAGCTGCAGGAGAAGGTGGCCTTCGTCTTCAACAACATCTCACAGAGCAACGTGCCAGCTAAGGCTAGTCAAACTAACATTTATCATACATGTCTCTGTGAATAGTCGTCTAGAATACAAACACGTGTGTTGTCTCTCTCAAAGTGCGAGAGGCTCGTTTCCACTTCCTAATCGCCACAATGTTACAATTTGAAGCATTAAAATCAAATCTGTTCACAAAAATCAGTTTGTTTGCCTCCATTTCTTTTTATTAAATCATGACAACGTTAAAATAAATTACAACGCTAATTTAAATTATTCGGACAAAACGGACTTTTATTAAATTATGGCATTGTTAAACAACAGCGCTGAACTAAAATATCCGGACAAAATGAATTGAGCTTAAAATGCAGCGTTTTCTCAGTTTGAACTGACTAAAAACAAAAAATGACAGCTATTTTCTATTTTTACCCACATTTTAGTTTTTCCAAAATTTTAGTTGTCATAGTTTAATCATGGCAGAATGCTCGATTTTATGGTGTAATATATAAAGAACAACTGTATTCAAAATAGTTAGTTTGTTCACTGTGCAAATTACATAATGACAGCGTAAAATTAGTTTTTCAAAACTGAAGTTGGAATGTGGAGAGGAAAGCAATCAAAACGAGGAAGACAAAAATTGCCGGCTCTTTTTCCTTTTCCCCACCCCCACCTCACATAAGTATCGACTTCATGGTGTAACGAGTGGTTTTACAAGGTTGAGTATGAAGACCGAATATGTTTATCATAACCGAATTAATCCGTATGCCGAATTTGATAACAATCTGACAATGTGAACAGAAAAAATAATCTAAAAAATTTGCAGGTGGGGGAAAAGGAAAGAGCCAAATTGCTTACCCTTGCGATAAACAAGGGTATTACTATCGGTTACTACAATTTTTCCCGTAAACAACTCTATCCACAAAATTTTCATTTCTTGTAGAGGATCTTCACTTCTTCTTGAGGATCTTTCATCTTTCAAATTAATTTAAAAGTGCTATCATTTAAGTAGTAATTAGTTAAATCCTGTTTCAGTTGTAATTATCTTGGCAAACAATTTCTTAATTTTTTCCCGGGTTTGTGGTTTTCGTCCTAGTTTCTTTCGGTTCTTTTTCCGTTCTTTTAAACTCATTTTCCGTATGAATTTCGCAAAATTTTAAATTTACCATGTCTGATATTTGAGTTTTTTTGTTCTTTTTTAAATATTCAAACAGCTTCAGTTTAAGTTATAACGACGTGGATATTTTGCGTTTTTTGAGGGCAAAAAATATCCGTTTTGGGATTATGCTTTCAATTGGATGGGTCGCAAACACTAAATTTTTTGAATTTCTTATGACAACAGTTTTGTTTGATGTTTTTTCGTTGCGGTAAAATTTCAACTTTCATCTAGTTATTTTTTCAATTAATTTTTTCCAACAGTTTTCAGAATTCTGTTTTTACTTGTATTTTTTTCATTCGCTTTATTGTACCGCAATGTGTGATTTGCAGTACAAAGTCTGAGCAGTGTTTATGGTGCAGTTTTTTATGATGCAAAGTGTTTATGGTACAAGGAAGTATAGCAGCCCCAGTAAGTAGTTTAGATAGAACAGTAAAGCATGCGCAGTGAAATAGCATTTGCTTTGTTTATTTGTGTATAGTTTTCTCGTAAATCTATGCAGATATCAGCTCAGTACTTACAAAAAAAGGCTGCGTTTTTGTATGAACGCACTTCTGTATGAAATCACTTCGATTGTTGGGCTCTTTCTACTTCCCCCCGCCTCACATTGAGTCAATTTTATAGTGTAACGAGGGCCTTTCAGAGCTTACATATTTTGACCAAACATGCTTGTAAATGTGCTGTATTATGAACGAAACAAGGAGTGATTTTGATTTTTTTGTATTCAATCAAAGTTTCGCTAAAATTATCCAACCAAATGCTGAACAAATCTTTGCATAAATAAATGTACTTTCTTTTGATCATCAAAAACGTTTTTTTACTATATAACATTCAATTTTTTAGAGTAATGAACAAAGTGAAGACACTTATATGGTTCTTGCTGTTTTTTTTTCAGGAAAAAATCTTAAAGTGCTCTTATAATTAGATTTGCATTCATACTATTTAGTGCACTTACCCGTTTTTTGAGTTCAATTGAAATTTATCTGTTGAAAGTGACGTAAATAACACTTCCCTAATACGAACATGAAAATTGCGCGAAAAAACGAACGCTTTCTAGTTTTGAAAGTGGAATTTAATTTTTAGATTTCCAGCGGAACTCCAGTTATCTCAAGTTGGGTTGATATTATCAAAAAAAGCGCCAATCATAAATCGTTCTAGAAATTCAAAGAGCTTAAAGGGCATTTATTTTTCCTTTGAAGTTTGAAAGTTGAGATTTTTTCAAGAAAGTCAGTGATTTTTTTTACTTGCGTTCATTACTCTTTTCCAATCTTCGATTGGCTATGTTTTTTATTTAAAAACTATTTTAAATGTTTTGCTGTTTGATAAAATATTCCTTTGTTACGGTTAATTCTACTTAGTTACAAATAAGATATGTTTAAAAAGTGAATTAATCTCTAAGTTAAAACATTAAAAAGTGAGCGGTCATTCTCTCCGTCGGAGAGAATGAAGATAGCAAGGTCAAATCAAGATTAACCAGTTAAGATACTTCAAAAGTAATTAGTGAAATAAAACGAATGGTAAGAATCACAACATTCCCCTTAGTGGTAACAAAATTAAAGTACTAAGCGCCATGATACCTAACATGTTATCTAACCCTTTTTCTCCCTCTCGAGAAGTCCGACAAAATGAAAATTTAAATACTGCACGGTATAACAAATGTAATTTTAGCTCTCCGAAGGAATGACTGAATTAGAGAGGATAATAAAATTCCTAAATCCGGCGGATTGTAAATCCGTAGTTACAGCTAGGTAAGCTCTAATTGTGCTTAGAAGAAATACTAGTACAAATTATAAATGACTAAATGCGAGTTATAAAGTTTGATTGAGTTTAGCTGTCCCCTTCCATGAATTTCTCTAGCTCGGCATTGAAAATTTCACTATCTAAGTCGATGTAATTTTCAAAACAGTTCACGGCATCTCTCAGAGAATCGTCGGTAGAGGCGGTGGAGAATTGGTCAGGAGATTGGGTGTATGCTAGGTCCGGTGTACTGAAACCGCTAGATGTCCTTTTGTAAAATTTCCGCCGCATTTCATACATGTGTTATTTCTTTCGATGTTTAGGGTGGGTTCTCTTTTTACATTAAAATGATTAAAAGATTTGTTGGAAGAATATCCGCTGGATTTAAAAGTACTCGTCATCTTGATGTGGTTTGTAATTCCTTTTTCGTCAATCAGGGCTACGTTTAAGGCTTCTAGTGGCGGTAGGGTTTCCGTGAGAAGTTTCCGTTGGATATCTGAGTTCTTCATGTTATTAATAAAAATATCTCTAATCCATTCATCTTCTCCTGTGGGAATGTTACATCGTTTTGCCATTTCTGCCAGTGCCCCCCAGAATTATTCTACTGATTCTCTGTCCCTCTGTTTTCTGTTTAAGAGTTTGTGTCTTTCGAAGGTTATGTTTGTTTTTTCTCACAAAAGCTGTGGACAATTTTTCCCAAAATTCTTTGAAAGAAATTCGTAGAACTTTGACTCTCGTGAACTTTTGGCCGAATATTTTCTTTCCTTCGTTTCCGAGGGCTAAATAAAGTATGGATCTTAGTTTTTTGTCCGCCTCTTCCAGTCTCATGCCGTTGAATTTCTTGGTTTCTGACTTTATTGAGGCCATTTCTTCATCATCGAATCTCTTTTGTTCTCGAATATTCCTCTCGATGCGTGATGTTTTTTGAGCGTCGGATTCGTTTTCCGGCGGATATTGCAATGTTGGGGGAGGTGGGTGATATCGTTCCGTTGGATTAAAGAGATTTTCGATATCGATATTCTCCTTCGCGATTATTGCTAGCTGGTATAGATCGCTCCACTCTTCCCAAGGGATTGGTGGGTCCACTGTGTGGTTTTGCCAAAATGAAAGTATACCTCTCACGTTTGATTCGTTGCTGTTTGGCTGCGCCATGATAAAATATTCCTTTGTTACGGTTAATTCTACTTAGTTACACATAAGATATGTTTAAAAAGTGAATTAATCTCTAAGTTAAAACATTAAAAAGTGAGCGGTCATTCTCTCCGTCGGAGAGAATGAAGATAGCAAGGTCAAATCAAGATTAACTAGTTAAGATACTTTAAAAGTAATTAGTGAAATAAAACGAATGGTAAGAATCACAACACAGTTTTTCTTCATGAAAATGGTTTTGTAAATGACCATGTTAAAATTTTTATGATGTAACTAGGAAATAAAAACGTGAGACGTGAGACCAGGCAGGAGACGTGAGCCGGTGCCATTATTTTCGCGGATTTTAGAATTTGGAAATAGTTAATTTCTAAAATCTCCAGCTTTTTTGGGTTGCATTTGTGTCATCGGCATGCTGGTATACATGAATTATATAAAGTTTTTGGCATATAGATAACATTAATATTTCAGTTAAAGGCCCTACAACGGTGACCTGAAGAACACTTTGCTCCAGATTTAGGTTATTTTCAGGAGATCTGCAGTTGACTTAGTTTTGGTGTTCTTAGTTTTACACTCGTGAAGCAAAGTGTATTAGTACGAACCTTCTTTTGTTTTTCCTACCGAAGTCGGAAATAAAAGTTCTCATTTTTGTCACATTTTTGAATCTGATGTTAATGTAGCAGTATAATGAAATATGTGCTCTGACATTTGATTAATAAAAAGTTAAAACAGCATTTTTAATTCATAAATGAGCCGAAAAAGAGTTTTTTGTTTCAAATAGCAGTACTGGAACCTGATCTAAACTGTGTTTCATTATTTATAATTTAGACATTTAAACATTGTAAAGTATTTAATTTTAACCAATCACAATCCATCTAACTAACTACCCACTTATTTGTAAGTGCTGAAATTACTTGTAATTTCAGCACCAGAGAGATTTGAATTTAACTTAGAAAATAGTTGCCTCTCCCGAGTACTTCAGCAGCCGCAACATCCAATTGAAATC